GTGTCTCGGAAGAAAGCCTGAGAGTATTCCCATGGTATATGTGGTATATTTGGAAAGCGCGGAATAAAATGATTTTTGAGAATATTATGGAGACGCCCCAAGATACTTTGGATAAAGCAATCCAAGAAGAAGCATATGGAGAAAAGCCAACACCGTTGTGGTTCCGAGCGAAGGGGTGATTATGGAAACTGAGTGGATTCCTCCGGGGAATGTCTTAGTGTGTTTTATTGATGGCTCCTGGCACGAGAAAGATAAGAGAAGCGGTCACGGGTGGATAGCTTCTATCGGTGATAGGACTTTCCAACTTGGGTTGAGATGCTCCCCGAGAAGCCTCTCGCCTCTCCATGCGGAGTTAGATACCCTTATTTGGACAATGAGGTGTTTGGTTAATCTATCGGTGACCCACGTCGTCGTTGCAACGGATTGCTTGGACTTGACTAGAATGCTTGCAAGCGAAGAAGTCTGGCCGGCTTTTGCCTCAGAAATTCGACTCTTCAAGGATCTTCAAAATTCCTTCCTGGACTTCAACATTAGGCATATCTCTAGAAGTAGAAATTTAAGTGCCGATAAACTTGCGAAATGTGCAAGGGCTCGAGGGTACTGTTTTTCCCATGTAGGTTTGTCGGTTCCCGTTTGGCTCTCTCTCGAAGAGAATCAATTCCGATAAACTAGTGTATGGGGTTCGTAGACAAAAAAAAAAAAAAAAGACAGTAAGAACAAAACCAAGAAAAACAAATTGTGGTATTCAAAATTAACACAAACAATGGCATAAAAACTAATTCAATGTATGTATATTCCATATAAGATAGATCCAAAAACTGTACAAAACTGATGAGATGTTTAAAACATACACGAAATGGATAGAGAGAGATAGACGCGTTTTTTAGAAAATGAAAATGCGGATTTGATAGGACAAAAGAAGCGAAACACGACAAATCATTTGTATTTTATTTACATTTTACGTTTCGATTAAAAAAAAGAAAAAAAAGGGGGGGGGGGAAATGTGAGTCGTGAGAGACAGGAGGAGTTATTGTCTGCAATAAAGAGCACCGTAGTCACGAGTGTCTCCTACCATATGACCCTACCACATTTCTCCTCTCATTCGCTCTTTGCCATACGTTTGAACGTTTCACTGCTCTATCATCCATCCCCTACTAGTCATAGTCACTCTCTTATCCTTTTATCTTTATTTTATTTCGTTTCACTTATACTGCATATTTCATCATGTAATTAATATATAAGAATACTCAGAATCAAAAGGGTATTTTTTTTTAAATGAGCCTACGCAAAACATGCGTAGTTACAGTTTCTAAAAACTTATATATGATGAGAATAAGTTTGATCGATATATATATATAGGAAGATCATAATGGAATCTCTCTAAGTTGGTGCGACTTCCAAATTACTCAAAGAGACACCAATCATGTCGTTATCATCTTAATTTTACAACAACAAAATAAAATTAAAGGGTCTAATTTTTGCATGTCACGTCACATTGTACATCACACATATTTTATTCGAGTTTCCCTATATATAATTTCAGAAATGATTATCACGAAGCGATTGATCACTTGATTTTTCTATCCACATTACAAACATTTATGTTTCTTAAACGTTTGCATATTGTATTGGTTTTTAACTTTCGTTTTGTTATATATTGTGGTATTATTATAGTACGTTGACAAGTTCACACATTTCTTAACTAGCTCATACAAAATATAATGATATATATATATATATATATATATATAATATATGGATAAATTGGTAGCTATCCCAATTAATGCTATGCCGGATTGCAATATCCCATGACAAGACATCATCACACACACATAACATAATGTCGACGTCTCAAGAAAACACAAAAATACAGTACGTATGTGGAAACAATAGACGAAAAAACTTGAGATCCTAGATTATGTAGAAATCGGCACCATCCTAGCTAATTCTAGATCCTAGATCATGTCTAATGCAAAAGTTTGTTTTTCTTTTTTTCTTTTGAGAGATAAGAAACCATAAAACTCTCCCTTTTCTGTTTAGTTTACACAATATATATCTATATATGGTACTATGCTATACATTCTCATGCAAGTTTTCATTATAGTTTTATTTTCCCTAAGTTTTTTTAATAGATTAAAATGTTAGTATTTTTCTTGAGCTACACTTTGTTTAGATGTCAATTTTGGATGATGTTATATAAACTAGTTATTAGTTTGTATAAGAGAATATTCTCATACAAAACGTGGTGAGAGTTATCTCATATTATACGTAACCCGTGATAAAACTCATGCAATAATATATACTTACACACACAGACTATATAAATAATAATAGAGGAGTTTATAAAGTAATCAAAAATTAAGAGGGGGGTGAGAAAATTACAAACACATGAGGATAGAAAAAAGTAGGTTAAAAAAGTCATCACATGTGCTCACAGTCACAGAACGCGAGTCTCCTTTTGTTGAACGTTACTGTTGGGCATGAGATTCACGCATATCCTATGCGACAAATAATTTTCTTTCTATTTTTATAAAATTAAAGAATAAAACGTAACTATTTTATATAAATAATTTTTTAATATATTTTTTCTTATATATTGATAAAAATATATATATTATACCCATTAGTCCTATTAAATGGACCCACGTTAATAACGATGTCTGAAATAACCAACACCCCACCAGACAATTCAGACAATATTTTCTTGTTTCTTTATGCATGTGATTTTTTTTTTTTTTGAATTTGTTAGAGAAAATAAAACAAACATTTTTGTTAATTCAGTACAGAATAAATTTAAAATATTTCGGCCATGTGATGTTTTACTTTCTTAAGCACTTACATACACACGTGTGTATATAAAACACTGTTAGTATACTCCATATTTTTTTCTTTCTTTCGTTAATTACTACTAGTAGTAGTGGTGCTTACTTAACGAATGAATTGGTTTGGGAGACAAATTCAAAGAGAAGCGAGATTTAGGGATTAAACCAATGTTTTTAAACCCGAACCGGAAAGCGAACCGGACTACCTTCTGGGTCACTGGGTCACCGGGTCAACCGGGTTCGACCACGGGTCGATAGTTTTTTTGTTTAAAATGTACTTATATAAATAATATAGTTTCATAAATATAAATATAAAATAATAATAATGTTTAAAAATATTATAAAATTTAACAAAAATAATAAAGTGATTAAAATTTTTAAATCCAAATAAAAGTGATAAAACTTTAAAAAAAAACACTAACAAGAGTTCATTATAACCAGTTTTAGTTATCTCTACCCGCATTCCATTCGTACTCATCAGGTGGCATAGTGAAGTCATCATCAAAGTTACCATTAGAATCTTCAGCGTTATTATCTTCTTGATCTTTTGGATATTCTTCAGCAAGGGCATTCTCTAATTCATCATATTCAAGTTCACCAGCTTCTTCTTCTTCCACTATCCAAAACTCTGTCTTATCAATAGATTCGTAGTCAACAGGATCATATGATCTTTTTCTTTTTAACCTGTACATTAAAAAAAAAAAGTAAAAAAACATGTAACTTGTTACAAACTAAACTAAATTATTGTGATACTCACCTATGTTGCAAACGTAAATTGTAGTGAACAAAGACAAGATCATTAAGTCGTTGATGCTCTAGTCTATTCCTCTTCTTGGTATGAATTCTTTCAAATACACTCCAATTGCGCTCACATCCAGATGAAGAAGCAGTCTGACTAAGAATTCTTATTGCTAACTTTTGCAAATTAGGAGCATCAAAACCAAAATATCTCCACCATTCATCTAAATATCCATCAAATTAAATCAGATAATTAAATATAATAAAATGCAAGTAAAATTCATGCATATAAAGAAATATAATGTTTAATAAGTTACCTCGCTGAGACGTTTTGCTGCAAGATAGAGCCATAGGAAGCGAAAAGCTGCCTTCACGTTCTCTATAAGTCCTAAGCTCTTGAAAGAGCTGTGTTTTACTAGCCACTATTTGCTTCTCAAATAAATTCATCAACCCTCTCATAACCTCAGGCTTCTCGCAAAATGT